ATTAAATACTTATTCCCTCCCCTACTCCAACAACTTACAGTCAATCCAATCCTTTTCTAAACTTTTCAAACTTATATACAAAGCTTTCAAACTTGAAAATCAACTTCAAACAAAAAAAGAAATCTCCAAACTTATTAATAAATGTATTAATAATCTACAAAACAATCCCAAATTAATGATACAAAACATTTTAAATCACAAAAATTCTTCTACTAACTTTAACAAACTTATCATTTCTGAAAAGGATAAAGTTATCTCCGATCCTACTGAAATATACTCAACTATAAAAGAACATTATAAAATTACCTTCCGAAAAGTCAAATACATCCCTTACTATCTAAAAATAGAAAGAAAACTACTTACTAATTTTTTCAATCTCATCTGACTAGTACTTCAACCTGCTAAGCCCAATATTTGAACATGAAATTTCTAAAACTATTGATGAATTACCCACAAATAAAGCTCCAGACTCTTTAAACATAACTTACTTAATGATTAAAAAAACCAAAAAAGCAATAATTTCCATTTTTTGTGAACTTTTCAACCAAATCCTTCAAAATGAAACAATCCTTGAAGAATAGAAAATATATTATATTTTTTCAATCAGTAAAAAACCTTAATAGAACTTCAATATCAATAAAACCAGACCAATAGTCTTAATTGATTTCTTCAGAAAAATTTTTACCAAAATCTTAATTACCAGACTTAGTTTAATTCTATTTTCACATTCAATTTTCTCCAATCAAACTTTGCAGATCTTCCCAACCAAAGTACCTTCAAGCTTATTCAAATTATAAACTCAATATACAACCAATACAAACTGGAAAAAAGAAAACTCTGAATATTATTACTTAACATCAGCGCAGCATTTAACTCTGTAAATTTACAAATACTAAAGAAATCCATACAATGCATTAAACTTTCACAAAAATTCATTAACATCTCCAAAAACATTCTATCCAATCAAAAATGTCAGGTAATCACAAACCTTAGCAACACAAATCCAATTCTTATACTAGATGACATTGATCAAAGAGAAACTATTCACCTTTCTGGTGGATTATTTTCTATAACCCTCTTATTATACTTTTATCTAAACAAAACAAATATAATAATCTACATCAAAATAAGATAGCATATATGGATGACTTAACATTCTTGCAAAAACCACTCTTCTCTTCAAAACCAATTAAATATAACTGATGAATTTTTCAAACTAAATGACATTAAAGCAAATTCAAGCAAATCCAAACAAATTCAAACTAATTATTATTAATTCCAAAAACAAAAAAAAATCCATTCTTTTTAATAACAATCTCATCCCATCTCAAACCAAACATGATTCAATTAGAATTTTAGGCATATAGCTCTCTGAGTCAAGTATAGTTACTCCAAATCAGGAAAAAATATTAAATGACACTATATTAATTTCCTACTCTCTCAAAACCAAATTTACCACCAGTTTAATGGTCACATACATATATAACAAAGTTTTACTTATATGAATTGAATTCAAACTTCAATGTTTCTTTCTAACTTTCAATCAACACATACTTTTACAAAGGAAAATCGACTTCACTATTAAACACAAATTCCAAATAGAAAAAACTCTTTCCCAAAACTGGTTCTACAACCCTTACATTTTTAATATTAAACCTATTTTTGACTTGTAAAATGAAGTTCTCATTTCCAACTTACACTACTCTTTAACTAACCCCTCTACCTCTAAACTCAAACTACAAGAAATTTACACCTTTCAATTACTAAATGCATTTCTCTCTTGTCCCTTCAAAAATTTTATCAAAACCTCTATAACAAATACTATACTTCATACTATTCAACTCGCACATAAATATAAAATCCAATTCTGCAATACCTCACCTTGCAACCATAAATTTCCAGATGGAAGAACTTTACTTTATGACCTAATCTGGGACTTAAATTGGTTATACATTGTGAAACTTTTCTCCATATATCAAATCTTCTATATTGAACAACTTCATTTTTCAAAGTAATCAACTAACTGAATGGTACCATATAGCTAGCCGAATAGAAAAGGGAAAAACTCCACAATGATACAAAAAACTCAAACATCTCAATTCAAAAAACACTGGAACAATAGCAATCACAAACAAATAACAAACAAATAAAAAAAGAAATTAGAAAGCAATTGAAGTCTCTAATATTATCATAATTGAAAAAAAATAAAAAACTCTCTCAAAAAATCAAATCATTATTAACCACTATCTATACCTACTAGTTAGTGATCTTGACAAATCTCTAATCTTAATCAAATGTACCAGCTGTACCCTTAATCAAATCTTCAATATACACTCCTGTCAACTTCAAATAAATGAATTAAACTTCATTTCTCTCCATATCTCTACTCAACTCAAGCCATCTAAAGCATGCTCCACTCTCAGGGATATAACAAACTCTACAAAATATAAAACCACTTCTCCTTTTTACAATATTTCAATTATATCTATTCTCTTTACACCTCAACAATTCCTAATCAAAAAAACCTTCAAACCACAATTTTACCAAAACCTAATTTCTATCTACTCAGCAAAATCAACCGAAAAAGCAATTTACTTATCAATGGAAACCAATCAAAACAAAACTATTGTCAAATAGACAGATGTTTCTGAATCACTAACATATAAACATAAATTTTCTTACAATTCAATCCCATCTCTTCTGCTTTCTATTCAAACAATTATTATTACCAAATTATTATTAACTATAATATTCTTTCTAAAAAATTACAAAATAAGCAAAACTATATTTTCTTCCAATTCATAAAATCACCAAACAAACTGCAAAACACTATACAAAGATATAATTAACAACTTAAAACAAGGTATTCAATTTTTGCAAACACACTGCTCCTTCTATAAACCTCTACAGAATGCACCCTTATTTCACAATTAAACAATTACCTCAATAAACCTATACTTTAATTCTTAACCTTCTTTATATACTCTAACTAATCACTTTGGTTCACCACTTTCTTCTATCTGGAAACATATCAAAAAAATTAATCACCTTTTTAGAACTTTTAATATTCTAAACTTATAAAGACTTCAAACAACCTTTCAATCCAATTTTCAAAACCTCTCTTATACTCTCAAATTTATTAAATAAGTATCAATATCTATCAATATCTCAGAATCAGCCATCTATAATTTTCATCTTAAAATTATCTCCTATATTCTTCCTACCAAATCTTACCTCCACACTATCAAACCCAGTCTTTATTTAAATAATCATTGTTCATGCTGCAACAGCTCAAAAGAAACCATCAATTATATTTGGAACTGTTCTATTAATAACAACATTTTACAAACAATTATTCTCTCAACACAACAAATTATCAATAAAACAATTAACAACTTTCCTGAACATAACATACAATACTTCAACAATATCCAAAACATAATACAAATTGCTACTGGTTCAATCTCCCTCTTGACCCTAATTTCAAATCAAAAACCTATTCCAATCTTTAAACATATACAAATCTTCAACAAACTTCTTGAACTAATATATAACAACATATGAAAATCCAGAAATGATGACATGATCTCTCAGGAAAAAATTCTTGGTATCATGACACAACAAAAAAGAAACAAAAATAATACCAAAAACAAGAACAATCAAACTTAATCTAACAAAAAAAACTCAACCATCAACACAACATTAATAAACTGTATCAACAACAACCATACCCCACTCTAATATTCTGTTTCCAAATATCTTTCTTAATTGTATCTTACTAATCGAAAACTTATTTTCATCAGATCTGAATGAAAAACCAAATTATTAGGAAGGTACTGACCCTCTAATTTAATAAATAGTTACTTCTAAAATTTCTCCAATTATGGTTTTTATAGAATATATTTACTTATTAGCAGGTCAATATTTATAGCAATATATTTCAATGTATCACTATTGTTGTAAATTTTATACTCAGTCATCTTTATAAAAATTAAATCAACAATTAATAAAGATCACAATTTGAGAAGTGCCTCACAAATAAATAAATAAATAAATAAATAAATATTTATAAATATATATATATAATAATTAATATTATGGTTTATTGAATAACTTTCTAAATGTTAAGTAAGATATTTCTTAACATCTTTACTAATATTCTTAATATTAAGATATAAGATACATTGATGTCAATTAATTACATATTAAGTATATTTCTATAAAAACCTGTAGTAAAAAAAAGAAAAAGACCATTAATTAATTTTGAGAAGATAATGCCTCAATAATAATTTATTCTGTCTGTAAGAGCATAGATGGATTTTATAAAAAGGGTTGAATAATTATGTTAGTAAGTTAGTTTATTTGTAGAGTTTGAGTTGTTATTTTCATAAACTGCATGGAACTGTTGTTTTGATCTCTTAAGAAAAAGAATAATGTAAGTCTAAGATCATTGAATCCCAGTGCTTGCGATTACAGGTTCAGTTGGTTCTTGTCACCCAATGAATATGTCAGCCGTAATGTTCAAGAGAAAATGAAGAACATTTATACTTCAGAAGTGATTCGTAAGATATAAGGATAATGAGCAGATCGACCCGTGGTTGGATGAGGTAGATAATTTGGGAAAACATTCCATTGTAAATAAATTATAAATTAATTATAAATACAGTATTTGTAAAATCAGAGATGTTATGCCTTGCAATTTACTTGATACTGTATGAGAATGTAAAAAATATGGAATTTGATTTATGACGATAAGAAGGATCATGCTAGTATATTTACTGAAAAGCTTTATTATGTATACATAAATCAAACCATTAATAGTTATTGAATGCAACATAATTTTGGAGGATATCTCATTGTATACGTATCACTATTCCCAATCCTTTTTAACAATCCAATTTTCATATCATCCAAACGCGTGATAAAATGATGCATTTGTATTTCGTGTTCTCCTCCCTCTGATCGTTTTTTTAACTCATCTAAAATCCTAGATAGTTTACTTGCACGAATCTGAACACCCAAAATTTGTTGAGTTTCGTCACGATAATCAAAGTATGTTTTAAAATAATAATAAAATGAAGAGTTTAAATCTTGTTTATATGAGTAACTATAGGTGTCGTTTTCTACGATGCCCCAACTGATCGCGTGTAAGTCAAACCCTATATAAGTACGTCGAGGTCCGCTGAAGACGAAAAAGCCTGTATGTGATTTCAGTTCGTAAATCAGATTGGCTTTAATACGCACGCCGCTATAATAAATTAGGATGGAGTTTCCGAAATTGCCATTTTTAATAATGGGGTTTGGTTTAATGAGCTAACAAATTGAAGATGTTAGTTCATTAATTATTAACGCACAGTAGATTGTATTGAGAAACTAAAAATTTACATCAAGTGTCCAGTGATGTTGAAATTTTTCTGCGTGGATTTGCTCTTCAAACAGATCGCGGACAATCAAGTCGAAAAGCCTGCAAGTACGACGGAATTTGTTAAGTTCCGAGAAGCTATTATAAAGAAGGTAAATGTCTGAATTATATTCCATATACATCTCGACTTTAAAGAGGAATTTACCCTGTAATATGGAATACATGAAGCAAAATATCAATCCACAACTCCGTGGGAAAGACATAATAGTTCTTCATTATTGTAATATAGTAAACGGATATTCGCAAGTATTTTTTTTCTTCCTTGAAGTTTTATATAAAAAAAAAAAAAACTCACTGCATCTGAAACAATTTGTAAACTTATAATCATCAGCATTAATATAAACTTCGTCATTATTTTTGATCTAGTTAAGATCTGTAAAGTCAAAAGTATACGTAATTAATAGTTATATTTAAAGTATTAGAGATTAGAGAGATATACTGTATGTAGGTGTTTTCCTAATCATTATGCAACAGAATATTTTATACCCTAATTAAATATAGAAAAACCATGTGGCGTTTTTTTTTTTGTTTTTTATTTATCTTATTAATTTATTATTTAGTAGACTAATTTTTTATTTGTTTGCATATAGAAAAAATATACATATTAAAAGAAATGATATTATTTATATAAAACTTTATAATAAACAAACAATCTATTATTATCATTATTATTTGAATGCTGCATAGATTTTATATAGAGTATGTGAATACTAGTCTTGAACTACAGTATATATTAAAATGGATTATATTTAATGTAATACTAGGCAACTTATTGCATTATTTGGTCCTATATTATTTTTTTAATAAATAAAATATATAATGTAAAAAGAAAACTAGTATTTCAAGATTTATTTAATAAGTTTTCTATTTTATCTAATATAAAAAAACTAATAAGGGATTTCTTAACTTAAGTAACATAAAAAAATTTTTAGTCAATATTAAATATCACGAATATATATTTTTTTGAATATTATCTTTGTTGTGGTTTTTTTAATAGAACATAAATCATAAATTACTTAAAAATGTTTATAGTATTTAAAATATAATATATGAATAAATAATATATTTATAAGTATTTGTATGTTATTATTTAGTATTGATATATAAGTATAAAATTAAAAGAACTAATTAAAAAGCTATTTTTCATATATATTTGTTATTAATTTATATTGATTACTTATTATTTAATATCTTTTGCAGATTTTTGATTAGTTTTAAAAAAAATCTTAAAATAAAATTAATTATTTGCATATAATTTAAGTCAAAATTATTGTTTATATTTGAATTATAAAATATCAAATTATATAATAAGTTTTATATTATATGTTATAATAAGCAAGTACTTATAATAAAGTATATAATTTGGCCAAAAACTATATTTTATTAACTATTTTGTAGTTGTTGTTATTTATATAATTTTTTTTTTTTTTTTTTTTTGCGAGGCACTTCTCAAATGTAATCTTTATTAATTATTGATTCAATTTTTACAGTGGGAAACTTAGTATAAAATTTATAACAATAGTGATACATTGAGACATGTTTCTATAAACATCAACCTGCCTATAAGTAAATATATTCTATAAAACCTTAATTTGGCAAAATTTTAGAAGTAACTATTTACTGAATTAGGGGGTCAGTGCCTCCCTAATAATTTAATTTTTCATTCAGATCTGATGAAATAAGTTTTCAGTTAGTGAAATACAGTTGGAAAAAATGTTTGGAAAAAGTATATTGGAATATCGGTTATGATTGTTGTTGGTTTGTTTTGTTGTTGTTATTAAGTTAATGGATAGTTTGTTAGAAGTTAATATGATTGTTTTTGTTGATTTTTTTTGATGAGAGGTGATGCCGTAAATTTTTCCTGGAAGATCATATCCTCGTTTCTGGGTTTTCATATGTTGTCATATAATAGTTCAAAAAGTTTATTAGAGATTTGTATGTGTTTGAAGATTGAAATGGATTTTTGGTTTGGTATTATAGTTGATGGGGAGGTGAGACCGATAGCTATTGATATTGTGTTTTGGATGTTGTTAAAGTAATGTAGATTGTGTTCAGGAAAGTTGTTAATTGTTTCTTTAATAATTTGGTATATTGAAAGAAGGCTTATCTTTAGGATATTATTGTTAATGGAACAAGTCCAGATATGATTAATGGTTTCTTCTGTAGTATTGCAATGTGAGCAAAGATTGTTTGAATATAAATGAGATTTGGTGAAAAGACTTTGTGAGATAATTTTGAGACAGAAGTTATAAATAGCAGATTCAGAAGTGTTTATAGAAATTGATATTGATTTAAAGAATTTTAGGATATAGGAAAGATTTTGAAAGTTGGGTTAAAATGTTATTTGGATTCTTTTTGAATTTAATATGTTGAAAGTTCTGTAAAGATGATTGATTTTTTTTGTGTACTTACAAATGAGGGGAGTGGTAATCCGGAATAGTTAGTTAAAGTATATTGGAATGGTTGTAAGTTAAAAAGTAAGTTTATTTGGGTGGTTATATTGTTATGTTGTAGTGGAATTGCGAGGTGGTTTGTAGAAAGTGCAATGGGTTTATAAAAATTGAATTGTTTGTTTTAAATTGTTAATTATATCTTTGTATGGTGTTTTGTAGTTGATATGGTAGTTTTTTGAGTTGAAAGAGAATATGGTTTTGCTTATTTTGTAATTTTTTAGAAAAATATTGCCGTTGTTAAAAGTTTCATAATAAGAATCGTTTGGATAGTAAGAAGAAGAGATGGGATTGAGTTGTATGGAAGTTTCATGTGTAAGTTGTTATTTCATAGAGATCAGTTCATTTAACATTGGTTTTGTTTTGGTTTGTTTCAATTGAGAAGTAAAAGGATTTTTCATTTGTTTTGATTGAGCAGTTAGGAATTAAGTTCCAGTGTGATTGTGATTTGAAGGTTTTTTCAATGAAAAATTATTGTAGTGTTAAGGGAATAGAGATAATGGAAATGTTGTAATTAGGTGAAGGAATTTTATATTTGGTTGAATTGGTTATATCTTTAAGAGTGGAATGAGTTTTATATAACTTTTGTTGGACAGAAATATGAAGTGGGATAGAGTTTGTTTTGTTTATTTGGAGTTGACAGGAGTGTAAGATTGAAGTTTGGTTGAAGGAACAACTGGTGCATTTGGTAAGAGTCAGAGATATGTCAAGATTGTTCGTTGGGGGATATAGGTAATAATTGACAATAATTTTGTTTTTAAAAATGTTTTTTTGTTTTTTTCCAATTATAGTTGTGTTGGATATTTTTATTGCTTCCCAGTTTCTTTTTTTGTTTTTTTCCAATTATAGTTGTGTTGGATATTTTTATTGCTTCCCAGTTTCTTTTTTTGTTTTTTTGATAATTGTTTTGAATATTTGTTGAGCCTATGCTTTTTGAAGTAAGATGTTTAAGTTTTTTGTACCATTGTGATGTTTTTCCTTGAAGATTTTTTCCTATACAGCTGACTATATGATGCCATTTAGTAAGTTGATTGCTTTAAAAAACTAAGAGTTGTTTGAGATAGTAGATTTGATATTTGAAGAGAAGTTTTGAGGTGTAGGACCAATTTGAGTTCCATATAAGATCGTAAAGTGGTATAGTTCCTCCTGAAAGTTTGTGATTACAGGATGATGTGTTATTGAATTGAATTTTGTATTTATGGGCAAGTTGAATAGTGTAAAGTGTAGTATTAGGTGTATGTGTTTTAATAGAATTTTTGAAGAGACAAGATGGAAAAGTATTAGATAGTTGTAGAGCTTGGATTTTTTGGAGTTTGAGTTTGGAGATAATAGGATTAGTTAGAGAGTAGTGCAAGTTGAAAATAAGCACTTCATTTTGTAGATTAGCGATAGGTTTGATATTGAAAATAAAGGGGTTGTAGAATCAATTATATGGAAAAGTTTTCTCAATGTGAAATTTATGTTTTATAGTGGAATTGATTTTTCTTTGTATTGATATAAGTTGGTTGGAGATTAAAAAGATAGTTTGAAGTTTGAATTCAATTCGCGGGAGGAGGACTTTGTTATATATGTATGTTGCCATTGGGTTAGTAGTATATTTTGTTTTAAGAGAATATGAAATTGAAATAGTGTTAAACTCTTTTTCCAACAATCAATTTTTTACTCAAAAATTTCCTTATTTGGTAACAAACTCTCTCAAGAAACTTTTCACTTTCCAGCACTCC